CTCCGTTGATGGACGCCGGAGTAGAGGTTGTCGACCTTCACGCCTACATTGCGAAGATCGGCCGCGAGTTCAAGACACAACGGTACGACGACATCGATGCACCATTGTTGTATGTACGCATTCAGATCAGAGAGGCGACCTGCAGCGCTTTGATCGATTGCGGAGCATCTCGCAACTACATGAGCCAGGACTTTATGGTACGCACCGGCCTTAGCCCACGCGTCCGGAGGAAGTCCTAGCCTACGCAAGTCACATTGGCGGACGGTCACACGCACAAGTCAATCGACCGGTGCATAGATGACGTCCCCGTGTACTTTGCCCCGCATGCAAGCGAGGCGGTGTCCTTCGATATTTTTGGACACCAAATTTGACATGATCTTGGGCATGTCATGGCTGCGAAGCGAGGATCACCCGGTGAACTTTTACCGCCGCACCGTTCACGTCCGTGATCGGAACGGAGTACTAGTCCCATGCACGGTAGCTCCTCCTCACCCTTCGATCAGCTGCCACGTGGTGTCCGCCGCAAGCTTGCGAGCTTCCATCGTCAGAGACGACATCGAGGAGATGGGGGGGTGTTTTCTCCACGCCCTCCTGCCCCATGACGCTTCATCGACGGACTCATCTTCGGACCCACGCATCACCGAGCTTCTCGACGCCTACGGCGACGTGTTCGAAAGCCCACACAGAGTAGTACCGGATCGGCCCATCCGCCACGAGATCATCCTCGAGGACGGGGCTGTACCTCCGCGCGGTTGCATCTACCGAATGAGCGAGGAAGAGTTAAGTGTGCTATGAGCACAACTCGACGACCTTCTGGAGAAAGGCTGGATTTGGACTAGCTCATCGCCATACGGTGCTCCTGTTCTCTTCGTCCGGAAGAAGAACAAGGATTTGCGGTTGTGCATCGATTATCGCAAGCTCAACGCGCAAACGATTAGAAACAACGGCCCTCTTCCACACATCGACGACCTTCTCGAACGGCTGGACGGCGCCAAGTTCTTCTCCAAGCTTGACCTCAAGTCGGGATATCACCAACTCGAGATTTGGAAGGAGGACCGCTACAAGACCGCGTTTAAGACGCAATATGGGCACTTCGAATGGCTGGTTATGCCATTTGGCCTTACGAATGCCCCGGCCACTTTCCAAGCGGCTATGACAACGGAGTTCCGACACATGCTGGATAAATTCGTACTTATCTACCTCGACTACATCCTGGTGTACAGACGGAGTTTGGACGAGCATGTGGAACACTTGCGCACCATTTTGGAGCGGCTATGGCAAGCCAAGTACAAAGCCAACCGCGACAAATGCGAATTCGTGCGGCAGGAGCTGGAGTACTTGGGACATTATGTGACGCCGCAAGGCATCCTTCCGCTTGCGGACAAGATCGAGGCCCTCCGCGTATGGCCCGAGCCCACCAACACCACGGACGTTCGTTCATTCATGGGGTTGGCGGCCTACTATCAACAATTCATCACCGGGTACTCAAGGATTGCTGCCCCTATGACGAGATTACAATCGCCAAAGGTGCCATTCGTATTCGATGACGACGCACGYCGGTCATTCCAAGCACTTAAGACGGCCATGCTCATGGCACCCGTCCTTAGCATCTATGACCCCACCCTGCCTACGAGAGTGACAACTGACGCTTCCGGTTATGGCATTGGGGCAGTCTTGGAACAACACGACAACGATGACTGGCACCCTATGGAGTATTTCAGCCACAAAGTGCCTCCCATCAATTCGCTTGATGATGCAAGGAAGAAAGAGTTGCTCACGTTCGTGATGGCTCTCAAGCGATGGCGACACTTCCTCCTTGGGCGTCGTAGGTTCACATGGGTCACGGACAACAACCCATTAACCTACTACAAAACGCAGGATACGGTGAGCAGCACGATCGGACGATGGATGTACTTCATCGACCAATTTGACTTCACACCGAAACATCTCCCCGGCCTCCCCAATCGCGCAGCAGATGCACTATCGCGACGACCTGATCTTTGCGCGATGACACATCATGCCTTCGCATTCGACGAGAAACTCCAGCAACACTTCATCCGGGGCTATGAGTCTGATCCGGATTTCGCCACGTTGTATGCGCAACTATCTTCGGATCACCCACCGGCCAGCCACTATCGCATTGTCGACGGGTACTTGCTCCTCCACTCGAGAGGCAAGGACTTACTATGCGTCCCACGAGACCGTCGCCTTCGGACTCGCCTTCTCGGCGAGTATCATGATTCGCGACTCGCCGTCCATTTCGGAGTCAACCGCACCATTGCACGGCTTCGACAACGATTCTGATGGCCCGACCTCATTACCGATGTCACTCGGTATTGTGACTCTTGCGAAGTTTGCCGACGAAGCAAGCCCCGCAATCGCAATCCCTACGGCGAGTTGCGCCCGATGCCTATCCCACGGGAACCCGGCCTCTCCATTGCCATGGATGTCACCGGACCATTTCCCCGTGATCGCCTCGGGCACGACGGCATCCTTACGGGTGTGGACCGTTTGAGTAAGTACGCGCGTTTTCTCCCTTGCAAGTACTACTCCACGGCTCCCGAGCTGGCACGCCTCTTGCACACCAGCTGGATTTGTGGCCACGGTGTTCCGGAAGACATAGTCACCGACCGCGACACTCGCTTCATGTCGGCATTTTGGACTGCTCTCATGCAGGAGTCCGGCACGAAGATGAAACCAAGTTCGGCTCGGCATCCACAGACGGACGGGCAAACGGAGCGGGCACATCAAACTGCTCAAATGATGCTTCGTACGCTCATCCGTCCGGACCAGAAAGATTGGGTTGACCGCCTCCCCGACATCGAGTTCGCCTACAACACTTCGGTGCACCCGGCGATC